TTCCCCCTGGCAGACACACTCTGGGCCAGCTGGTGGTAGAGGTAGAAGGTGGAAATACCTACATTGCAGGTAAGGGCACTCCTAGGTTGAAATCTCAATTAGCCACTCAAACAGGTGGGCTGGTTTTTCCCTAAGTTCTTCTCCAAGACCCAAAAGGTCTCTGCAAACCTGTGAGAAGGACTACAGTTCCCATCATCCCCTATCCATCTATCTTTAGATATAAGGTTGATCATCTTTCTCTTCCTCCGCCTCTTTCCAGGTACCAAAACACTGAGTGGAAGCATCTCCACCATGGACACCTGTATCAGACATTTCATGGATGCCACTGGTAAGTAGAGTCTGGCTTACTACGACACAGGGTTACCATCTCCCAGGGAGCCAGATCTGTTGAGGATTTATTTGTAATCCCTCCAAGGGTGACCCTCGCAATGACTCTGTGTCAGGTGCGAAAGATGAGGTCCATAAGTGAAGGTTTAATTCCCACACGAGAATTCCCTGGCTGGGGAATTCTGGGGTTGAAGTCCACACGTTTTCAAATTCTCGTAGTTGAGAAACTGTCAAGAGTTCGTTGCAGCACACACACAAGCAGCCTATTAAGCAGAATTCAATTTACATATAAGAAACTTCTTTATATACAATACCAACGCATAGGGCATACAATTCGCTTGTAGGTTTTTCCACGTTGTAGAGAAGAGACATAGCACAGTACAAACAAAACACAAAATGGAAGCAAAAAATGGAGAAGGCAAAACGGAGGAGAGAGAAGCTAGTGCCCTCAAGCTTATATAAAGGTAAAGGTAAAGGTTCCCTTCGCACATACGTGCTAGTCGTTCCCGACTCTAGGGGGCAGTGCTCATCTCCGTTTCAAAGCCAAAGAGCCAGCGCTGTCCGAAGATGTCTCTGTGGTCATGTGGCTGGCGTGACTAAACGCCAAAGGCTCACGGAACGCTGTTACCTTCCCACCAAAGGTGGTCCCTATTTTTCTACTTGCATTTTTTATGTGCTTTCGAACTGCTAGGTTGGCAGAAGCTGGGACAAGTAATGGAAACTCATCCCCTTATGCGGCACTAGGGATTTGAACGGCTGAACTGCCGACCTTTCAATCGACAAGCTCAGCGTTTTAGCCACTGAGCCACCGCGTCCCTTCCAAGTTTATATACAGAACAGTTAAGCCACGCCCAGGCTCCAAACTGTCTCTTATGGCCCCATACAACAAATACTATGTTTCAGTTACCAAACAGTCCTCATTGGCTGATTGCCTATTCCAGTCTATGAACATACTCTGATAGAAACACTGGCGTAGAGACACAGTCAATCCCAGATTCTTCTCAGAAGTGGCATAGAATGAAGGGTTTCATTCTCCCAAGCGAAGAACCTTTTGCCATTGTGGATTCTAACTAAAAAGCAACCCCCATTTCTATTTTGCAGCCTGTTCATTAGAAATAGCCCTGGAGGCTGCCTCTCTCCATCCTGCTCAGCTGTTAAATATTGAGGATCAAAAGGGAACCTTGGATTACGATACCGACGCAGGTAGTATTGCTCTGATAAGGATTGAATTCGGATCGCACTGTCTCCAGCTCAACATGGAATCCATTGAGAATCCTGTCAGATAGGCTGAGCTGAAAATAAGAGGATGGGCTAAAGTCTCCCAGAGAATCTGATTGGATCTCATTCTCTTTGATCCTGGCCCAGCAACACCTTCACCATTACTTCAGAGGTTCTGGATGGTGGGAATCCAAACCACGAACCTCTTATCTTCTATCTTCCACTCTTTAGATCAGGGGTCTTCAAATTTGGCATCTTTAAGACTGATGGACTTCAATTCCCAGAATCCCCTAGCCAGTATGGCTGGCTGAGGAATTCTGGGAGTTGAAGTCCACAAGTCTTAAAGATGCCAAGTTTGGAGACCCCTGTTTTAGATGTAAGGTGTTGCAAAGATTGCAACCTTCCTGCCTGTGGTACTCATGGAATTCTCTCCTTGGAGAGGCCCATCTGCCTCATCCTTCTCTGGTGAATGAAGAAGTATATTGTAGCGCCTGAATGAGTCGGATACCAACTCCTCAAAATTCCTATCAACCAGGCTTGGGGTGAGAGGCATCATTTTCTCTTTCCTACAGATTTTGTGCTACTGGATGAGAGACTCCATGTACGAGCCACTTATATTGCCGGCGAAGAGGTCTGGAGACAAAGCAACTTCATCATCTGAAGTTGTGCAGAGCTGGATGGGCAGCGCTTCGGACTGAAGGCAGAGGGGGGACTCAGAGTGGCCCACAACTCCATTTTCCCCTAAAGCTTTCTGGTTTGCCTCATTTTTCTCCACAGACTCTCTTCGAAAAGTCCTGCTCAAACTGTAGCATCGGCTGCCCTCCTTCCTATGGAGGATAGTAGAACTTTTCTTCTCAACTTGATCCAGGTAGCTGTCCCACAGGCATGAGGTTGGACTCCTTCCGGAGCTTAGCAGGGACTTTTCTCACTGTTCATCAAGAGACTTACTGCTATTGGGGAACAGCAGCCATTTTTTCCCCAGAGTGCCTCATTCTTTGTCTTTCAGCGCAACCTCTTTATTATTAAGATGATGCTTTGGGAAGGGGTCATCTGCTTTGATCCCATTTAAAGCCAACTCTACACAGCATTGTTACAGCTGACTGGATTTGTCTAAGCAGCTGAGCTGAAAATCCGGGGTGACATTAAACCCCAAGGCAAAATGTGCATCCTGCAAAAATCATTCGTTTGATAGCCAGGGAGCCTTTCTGACCACAATTGTTGAAATCTGTAGTATGGTTTTATTTCATTTTGAGCTGGAAAGGTTGAGAATACAGAGTAACAGAGTTGGAAGGGACTTTAGAGTACTTTTAGTCCAACCTTTTGCTCAAGCAGGAGACCTTATTTCCAGACAAATTAATGAACATCCTAAAATAAATTCAATATTTTTAAAAGCCTCCCATATTCCACCCGAAAGAATAATGTACAGAATATATACATTAAAAACTCCCTTTGTACAACAACCCTGTAATCCTTTAATTTGGGGTAAAGTTGGGGCGACTAGATGCAGTATTTGGAGAAGGAAGATTCTATCAGCAAATGACCTTGGTTCTCACAATATGCCTGGCTATGAACACACCAGCCATGCTTAACACTGCACATTGAGCCAAACATATGGATGCCTGTTGAGGGTAAAACTGCCCTCTGCAGAGTGGTGCAACGGACCAGACAGCGAATAGATACGTTGCTTAGCAAAACACACAGATACTCACAGACTCTGAACATTTAAAAGAAAAATAAACAGTCTTTACTTGTAATAAAACAAACAAACTTGGCTTCTCAAAATAAAGATAACACTTCTTCAAATAATCACGGTTCAACACAAAAACATAGTTTGCTTACAATTCCAGTTCTCTTCAGTAACACAGACACAGTTCCTTTCAGCAGTTCAACCTTCTAATAGGAGCAGAAGTGAATGAACTTCCTGCCTTCTTTTATGTCTGCTTAGCACAGCCAATTAGTCATCTTGTAGCAGTTAAAGATACAGAACATGGTTTTCTATATATTACCTACCCAACCGTAGGACAATGTTTATTTCATTCTCCTGCAAGTCGATGGATCACAGCACCCATGATCGCTCAATAGCACCATTGGCTGGGAATGATGGGAGATGTGGTCCAACCCATTTTTGGCAAAGGAGGACATATTCAGTGCTGTTCCATTTACAAAATGGAATCTTTGGCTTCATGGCATGACATGTTTTTTTCTTCTTTTTTGACATGCTGTGAATTTAAATTTTCAGCCATTGCAATTCCAGCGAAGTACCAATTTTATCTGATTCTTTTATGTTGGAAATGTTTCTTAAAAGCATAACTTTTATAAAGGGGAATAAAATGTTCAGTCCACAACCAATGTGTTGTTTCCTCCAGCAGAGGGAGATTGTGGTAGATGAATGTTCACTTTCATCAAATCTATTTGCTGGGATGATATTGATTCATTGATCAATTAGTGCCATCAAGTAATTTTTAACTCCTAGCGACCACGTAGGTAGATTTTCTACAGGATGATCAGTATCTAACCTGGTCCCTTCATATCTTCCAACAATGCCTAATCCCTACTGTAACTGAGTGCATCCCCCTTGCTGCTGATCCTCTCCTCTTTCCTTCCACCTTTCCCAACATTAGAGAAAAAAATCCCCCATTGGATCATTTATGACAGAAGTGAATGCAAAAATCTACCCTTTCACAAGTATAAAGAAAAAATCACTGGCATGCAAGAACCAACTCTTTAAGTGCTTGCCTCCAGATAATTTGGAAGAGACTTGGACAAGCTTAAGCAAAACATTCCCAGGCTGTCGAGAAGAACAGGAATTGTAGTCCAAACCCCCCTGAAGTCCAATTGCAAGAGATTCTCAGTCATCCAAGTCATGCTTGTCCCCAAGGTGTTTTTCAGGAGCCAACTGGACTTTGTTTTTTATATTTTGAAGACTCGCTTTTTCTTCTGAAGATGTTTTGCTTCTCATCCAAGAAGCTGCTTCAGTTCTGATGCTTCTTCAGCTCTGGACAGGATATCCTCACTATCCTGTCAGAGCTGAAGCAACTTCTTGGATGAGAAGTGAAACGTCTTCAAAAGAAAAAAAAAACAAGAAAATCCAGTTGCCTCCTGAAAATGCACCTTTGGGACAATCTTGCAAGTCTGCTTTACAGACAGATCCCGTTCTTTTGGGTGGGAGAAAAACAGCTGACCTCCCAGCCAATCAGAGGGAGGAACGACTTCCGGGCGGAACGGAATTTTCCGAGCTCCGGAGCGACCGGGGAAGCAGTCCAGCGACGGACCGGGCCCGCCTTGCTCGTGTCTTGCGGTGAGATCTCAATGGAGTAACTTGCATTAAGTTTTAAGGAACTGTGTCTCCCGTGTCTTTCGGAGTGGATTGATCCGGATTGGAGTGAGGGTGGAGGAATCTCTGTAAATTTAAGGGGAGAGGGGGAACGGAGCGCGGCCTGGTCGGGCATGAGATCTGGAGTCGGGAAGCCTTTGCGTGCTTTTAATTTCAGCTTCCAATAAATGCAGATTATTAAGAGCCCGGCAGGTTCTCCGTTTTAGGGCAACAGATGCATGATTTGAGATTAGGTTTATAATAGCAAGCCACTAATGTTTTAGTTCTCGGTCCTCCCACGGTCAGTCTTGACTTCCTACTAACTCCTATTATTATTATTATTATTATTATTATTATTATTATTATTATTATTATTATTATTATTATTATTATTATTATCATCTTTATTCATTAAATATGAAACTCAGTCAACTAAACATTCAAAAATGCATCACAAATACCATTGACTGGAGCTAATGGTTGATATGGGTTGCTGCCAGCGTCTTAGGTATCAACCAAGTACCTTCTTAAGATGTACGATGTTCCGAGTAGTTCCACTGGTGTTATTGCAGGAAGCTGCAATTTCTTGATGTGTTTTGTAAAATTCTTGGACATGGTACCAAGTGCTCCGATGACAATGGGTATCACTGTTACATAGCCATGTAGTTTTGATGGCCAGGTCACTCCTCCTCCTCCTCCTCCTCCCCTCCTCCTCCTCCTCCTCCTCCTCCTCCCTCCTCCTCCTCCTCCTCCTCCTCCTCCTCCTCTTCTTCTTCTTCTTCTTCTTCTTCTTCTTCTTCTTCTTCTCCTCCCCCTCCTCCTCCTCCTCCTCCTCTTCTTCTTCCTCTTCCTCTTCCTCTTCTTTTTCCTCTTCTTCTTCTTCATTATTATTATTATGACAGTATACATAGCAAACGAGATGACCATGCATCATCATCATCATCATCATTATTATTATTATTATTTACTTTATTCATTAAATATGAAACTCAGTCAACTGAACATTCAAAAATGCATTACAAATACCATTGATTGGTGTTAATGATTGATACGGGTTGCGGCCAGCGTCCTAGGTATCAACCAAGTACCTTCTTAAGATGTTCCAAGTAGCGCAGTTTTTTGCAGTTCCTCTGGTGTTATTGCAGGAAGCTGCAATTTGTTGATGTATCTTATAAAATTCTTGGACATGGTACCCAGTGCCCCAATGACAATGGGTATCACTGTTACATGTTTCATCCATAATCAGTTTTTATTATTATTATTGTTGTTGTTGTTATTATAGGGGGGACGGTGGTGGTTAGGAATTCTGTTTGCAAACACTGATTAATTTTAAAGTGGAACACTTTCTGTTTGCATTTGTAGTGACCTGAAAGAATAGCTGGCTGGAGAATTCTGGGAGTTGAAGTCCACAAGTCTTAAAGCTGCCAAGTTTGAAGACCTCTGTTCTAAATAAAGTATCTGGAACCAGGTAGATTCCTTTGTTTCTTACTGCTTGTTTTCTGCTATTTCAATGATTTGATGTTTTTGGCAGAAACATTCTAGAGTCTAGACCGTCCTGTCATTTCTTTGTTTATAATTTGGTTTGGTTTGATGCCGCTTGACTCCAATGACACTGGGCAATTTGCAATACACTAAAAAATATAAAATATATATAGTTCAGATCTTATATACCAATGAAGTGGGCTGGTTTTATGAGAAAACAAATTTTAAATAATTCTTGATCTGAAAACGAGAGAGTTTAATATTTTGGTCATAATAACATACTGCAATGTTATTACTAACCAAAAGGAAAAATGGAATAGAAAAAATCTGCAAAGAAGAGAACTTTGTACAGATATCCACACAAATATAGAAAATGTCCCTCCTACAAATGCTTATCAGTTATGTAGCAAACATAGTTGGGCCTTTGAAAAAAAGATACCCTAGATTTCATGGTAATGTTTTTGTGTAACCTTGTATTACTAGGTGAACGGGAGAGAAAATACCTGGAGATTTTATGTGAACAATTTCAAACTTTCTTAATGGAAGAGGTAAGATGTGTATTCCTTACGGCAACAGATGCGGTAAACTGCTTTGATTTGCTTAAGATTAAAGCATTATAAAAGGCTCAGAAATAGCTAACTGACTAAACCAGTTAGCAACGTTAAACACTCAAAGAGCCATTTGGACCCGTTTCCCACAGAAAAGAAAACACAAGGAGCCACAAAACCCTTTCCATGCCTGACTGTTTCTTGAGTGGCTGCAAAACTAGCATATGTAATTGAATTAAACATTCTTTTTCCTTCTGAAACTTTTCTTTGCTTGGATTTATCTATGGTTGGCTTACCGGGGATTGAAAAGCTCAAAAAATTGTGTGCCAGCGGGTGTCGCACATTGGCAGTTGTGACGCATATTTTGAGCGACAAGAGCCGCAGCAGAGGGGTGAAAGAGCTGCATGCGGCTCCAGAGCCGCAGGTTGCTGACCCTGGTCTAAACATTAAGACTCCTGCAGTTTTAATTACTATATAGGGCAGGGAATATTAGCAAGCACAGCAATTTTGCCACAACCAACACTACTGGGATTTTAAGGTTATTTAGATTTTGCACACAGGCATGTGCAAACCACCTTTTTAAAAACACTGGCTCTTAACGCATTTGTACATTTCCCATTGATCCAGGCTCCCAAACCAACATTTCAGGATGAACTGGAATGGTGCATCACTCAACTGGAGACTGGTCTTTTGCGTCTTAATCCAACTCCAAAACAAGGTAGGTTGTAAATAATAAAACCTCTTCTAATGGATCCATTTGAAACCGTGCAGTGTTTCTCAATCTCAGCATTTCTAAGATACGTGACTTCAACACCCAGAATTCTCTATCCAGTATGTTGACTTGGGAATTCTGGAAGTCGAAGTCCACACATAAATTGCTGAGGTTGGGAAACCCTGCTGTAGAGCACAGGCACAGGAAATTAATGCCATTTTCTGGCAAAAAACTGTAAATTATGGTCTCACGACAATGGGACACTGCAAATGGCCGTAAATGCGGATTGGTTGCCAAGTGTCCAAAATGCAATTACCGTATTTTTCGGAGTATAAGACACACCTTTTTCCCCCAAAAAAGAGGGTGAATATCTGGGTGCATCTTATACTCCGAATGTAGCCCCGCCCAGCCTCTCAAAGGGAGGTTTCAGAGGTTGAAAAAAGCATCAGAAACGAAGCTTCAGAAAAAAAAGCCTCCAAACAGAGCTTCAGAAAAAAAGCCTCAGAAACAGAGCTTCAGAGGCTCTGTCTTTTTTTATGAAGCTCTGTTTCGGAAGCTTTCAGAGGCAGAAAAAAAGTTTTTTCTGAAACGGAGTTTTAGAAATTTCGGAGGCAAAAAAAAGCAAAAAAAAAAAAGCAAGGCACAGAGCTCACAACTGTTGCTAAAATTCACCTCTGGGAACAGCTGATTGGGGGTATTCCGGGAGGCCGATCCACCTACCAATCAGCTTTTTTCTTATTTTCTTCCCCAAAAACTAAGGTGCATCTTATACTCTGAAAAATACGGTACATGACCACAAGGGGGATAGCCATTGGAACTTCAAAACTGGAGTTGTAATTCACTCTGAGGAGGTCTGTCGTAACTTGAAACAGTTGCTAAGTGACTGGTCATGATTCAAGGACTACTTGTAATGCCAGGCTTTTGTGAGTAACTTTTACATTCTTCGTCTCCGAGAACAGCCGATGAGACACACCACATCCTTCGAGTATTGCGCTCCCGTAAAGCTCCCCTTGTGAAGAAGCGGCAAATGATGCACCGTGTCTTTGGAGATTACCGTCTCAAAATGGCTGAAGAAAACGAGAGAACAGCAAAAGCTGGTGAGCTGGCAGGTCTTGCCTTTTGTGTCGGTCACTCACTCATGCCACTTCTCCCAATTCTTTCATCCATGTGTATGGAGATTCTCAGTCATCCAGGTCACGGTTGTCCCAAAGGTGGTTTTTCAGGAGACAACTGGACTTCCTTTTTCTTTTGAAGAGGTTTTGCTTCTCATCCAAGAAGCTTCTTCAGCTCTGACTGGATGGTGGGAAATGGAAGGATTTATATTCCTTGCGGAGAGCTGGTCATTTGCATTTTTTTTAGAGAGTCGTTGAGGCCACTAGAAGTTTATCTGTGTCCTTGGGGCCCATGTCTTTTGATTCTTTCCTGCTACAACCACCACCTTGAATGGGTTCGTCATGGCTTCTGCATGTCAGTGATCCTTCCCTAAAAAAAAAGTCTTGCTTTCTTTTGCTCTCCTTCCCTCTTTTTAATCTGGTGTGCTGTGAGGGCAGAGGAAGGTTGCTTTGGCTTGAGGACAGTTCACTCATACAGGATCTCTGCAGAGAATAGGATAGGATAGGATAGGATAGGATAGGATAGGATAGGATAGGATAGAATAGAATAGAATAGAATAGAATAGAATAGAATAGAATAGAATAGAATAGAATAGAATAGAATAGAATAGAATAGAATAGAATTCTTTATTGGCCAAGTGTGATTGGACACACAAGGAATTTGTCTTTGGTGCATACGCTCTCAGTGTACATAAAAAGACAAGATACATTTGTCAATAATCATAAAGTACAAGACTTAATGATAATCATAGGGTACAAATAAGCAATCAAATCATATTAGGAAACAATATAAATCGTAAGGATACAGCAACAAGTTACAGTCATACGTGGGAGGAGATGGGTGATAGGAACGATGGGAAGACTAATAGTAATAGTAATGCAGACTTAGTGAATAGTTTGACAGTGTTGAGGGAATGATTTGTTTAGCAGAGTGATGGCGTTCGGGGAAAAACTGTCCTTGTGTCTAGTTGTTCTGGTGTGCAGTGCTCTCTAGCGTCGTTTTGAGGGTAGGAGTTGAAACAGTTTATGTCCAGAATGCGAGGGGTCTGTAGATATTTTCACAGCCCTCTTTTTGACTCGTACAGTAGACAGGTCCTCAGTGGAAGGCAGGTTGGTAGCCATTGTTTTTTTCTGCAGGTAGAAGGTGGGGCTGTCTGAAAGGTGCTCACCTTTGTCCTAGATCCAAGCAACATTGCCCCTAACCAAGATCCCAAGTTATAGAATGAACATATGCCCATATACCGAGACACTATCATCCAGTTTATCATGCTATTTAGAAGCCGCTAGCAGCTGTTGCAGAGTCAGCTGGGAGCAGCCTTCTGTAACTTGAGGCCTTCCCCACATTGTGATTTACAGCTTTCATTTTTGCTGTCTGTGGCCATGCTGGCAGGAGATGAGGGATCTTAAGCTCATCAACTGGAAATGCACCAGCTCAGACAAGATTAAGCAAAGGGGGTCAGTTGCAAAAGACGAATGAAGAATCCTGTTCCTCTAATGAACGTTAGGAAGCAAAGAGGGATAATGGTGAGACTGCTGGGGG